ATTAACTTTCAGAATTAAAGCACCTCAAGGGAGGCACCTTTTGTATGTACTGTATTTTTATGGGTGTTCATGGGAATCAGAAATAACAAGATGAAATAAAAGAGGGTGAATTTAAGATGTATGGCCAAAAGTATCTGTGTAATAAAACATAAACCACTGTGCAGTACGCAGACGACTATCTGCAAGCAAGATGCCAGATTTCCTGAATTTAACCTGAGTTTGTGTAGTGTTAGCCTGAACAGGTCAGAGGCAGGTTAAGTCATTATAGCTATCTGTGCATTATTCCCCAAAGTGTTTTCAAATAATTTCCAAAATTTTAGCCATAAAATTAGTCAAAGTTGTAAATTCATGTGTGATACATTTTAAATAATCACAATGGAACTACTATTAAAAATTAAGATTTTGTTTGTTTGTTTTCATTTCCCTTCAGTGTTGAAAACTTTCTTTTCCAGGTTCCAAACTGGAAACAAGAACAGGAACTGATGAATATCCACACATGACAGTGCATTAACTTGCTTCATGCTTGACAGTAATGTTTATTTCCTATGTTATTTTTCCCTGAACAAACAAACAGAAGCAAACTGGCTTTATCACATGAGGAGCACATTTCTTAGATTAAAATTTGTAAATATTCTTACATAGATCAATATGGCTTTCTCCAAAATCAAGGGTTGCAATAGGAAAGGGAATGATGCAAAATGAACGCCACAACGTCCTGCTTTTATTTTCTGGGGTTTTGCTGTTTGCTTTTTTCTCCAGTGACATTGTGTGAAGAATGTCTGTGTGATTTGGATCTCTTTTGTTATAATCCACTCTTCACTACTTCTTTCAAAATTGCTACATTGTTACAAAGTAATTGACAATTTATAACAACTTTAACTACTTCATGGTAATCCCCTGAGGAAGAAATAAAATACACAAAAACTATGCAAGTGGTGACCATGAAAATGCTGGGATTTTCAGAGAAGACACATTTTAATATGTCAACAAACTGAGAATGAGTTTCCGAAACTGGCTCATTCAAAAAAAGCCAGATCCCTCAATGTTTTCATTTTACACCTATCTTTGCTCTCTCTTTCCCTGTTCTTCCATGAATTTAAATTCTTTTAAAACTGTTTTTGAACAAGGTGATCTTGTCCCTGCTTTTTTTTTTTGCTTTTTTTTTTTTTATGGAATGAACCCAGGTCTTCCTTTGGATCTCTCTCAAACTACTGCTCTGGCTCTGCCACTTATGCTTTTGTCACTAGCTACTACTCTTCCATTAATGCTCTCCTTTTGGGTTCAGTACTATTCTTCCATTACTGCTATGCTTCTGGGTTCATAGAAAGTGCTCAGCAACCATGAGATTAAGAAACACATAAAAACATATGGCGAAATTTGTGGTTTCATTGTCCATGACAACGTTTGATTTACTTTCAAGAGCCACTGTCCCCTACAGTTTGTGCTACTTTGTGCTCCTGGATGCCACTCAATGATCAGCAGCTACATAGCTGGATTGGTCTACCGTCTACATGGCCACACATAGGCCAGTTCCAAAGGGAATCCTGGGGATTTCCAGTGGAAATCCTGCCTGATCAATTTGGTGGACTTCTATGATGGGGCTACAGAGCTGATGGACAGGGGTAGAGCAGTTGATGTCATCTACCTGGACTTGTGCAAAGCATTCGACACTGTCCCACATGACATCCTTGTCTCTAAATTGGACAGACATCAATTTGATGAATGGACCACTCGGTGGATAAAGAACTGGCTGGATGGCCGCACACAAAGAGTTGTGGTCAATGGCTCAATGTCCACCTGGAGACCAGTAACGAGTGGTGTCCCTCAGGGATCGGTGCTGGGACTGGTATTGTTTAACATCTTCATTGCTGACATGGACAGTGGGATTGAGTGTGCCCTCAGCAAGTTTGCCGATGACACCAAGCTGTGTGGTTCGGTTGATACGCTGGAGGGAAGGAATGGCATCCAGAGGGACCTTGACACGCTTGTGAGGTGGGCTGATGCCAACCTCATGAAGTTTAACCATGCCAAGTGCAAGGTCCTACACCTGGGTCGGAGCAATCCCAGGCAGAGCTACAGGTTGGGCAGAGAAGAGATTCAGAGCAGCCCTGCGGAGAAGGACTTAATTCAGCCATAGAGACATAATCTGAGGGTCAAATCTGCCCAAAGTGAAAAATCAATTGGTGAGTGTGAACACTAGCTGGCTAAAGTGAATCATGGTCCTTCGTACAAGGACTTCCACTGCAGTGACAGGCTTGAAGTTTCTTTCTTGCCCTGTTTTACACCACCCCCTAACAGCAGATCTTCAGCTGTAAGGAGGCTGGAAACAGCTTAATTTTCCCTTTTTGGTGAATATATACTGAGGGAGAGAGCTCCTTTCCTGTTTACCCTTTCTAAACTACATTTTGTAGAAATTCCTTTTGTCAGTGGGGGTGAGGTTGCATAAAAAAATGGCTTATTTCAAATGATGTTAACAACCTCTGTTTTTTCTTATAAAGCAGGGTGTATTTATTCTACTCCAGTCCTTCTTTATATCAGTTCCTCTGAGGCAGAACTGGTGAGTTTGCGCTACACCTCCTTTACCTGCTATTGCACATCATCCTATTAAGGGCAATTCAGCACTTCTTTTATTTTTCCAAATTACTCACATTATAGGTAAGATTGTATTTTACTGGAGTGCATTTATAAAACTAAATTTAGTTTTACTTTCACTAATGCTTTGACAGGAGAAGGAGATTTTTAAACCCAGCAAGACAACTGATAATGAAAGAAGAAATAGGGAGGAGAGAGGCCAAGACAGATGTGGGACCTGTGCACCGTTCCTCCTCTCTGAGAAGGACACAAGATCAAGGTATTTACCCTGTAGAGGAAAATGGAAACATGAGTCACAGTACATTCTCTTGAGCCTCTGTGATAGCACTTCCAAACAAATACCTCATTTTACATAAGCTTTTGGAATTCAAATTTCCAACCAAAAAAGCCCACCAATCCCAAGACAATGTAACTAATGAGATATTTCCTTTTTGTATAAACTTTTCATACAGAAAAAGGTTGTTTTGTGTGGGGTTTTTGGTTTTGTTTTTGTTTTTATTATTTTTAAACATCTTAACATAATTTTGGGGGAGAAAATATTTACCAACGTTTTATTAAGCGAACTTTAAGGAATTCCTTACAATGTTTTTAGAGACTGGTCTTAAAGTAAGCACCTACAGGACTTTATTTTAATCTATGATGTAATTCAAAGAAGAATTGTAATTGAAGCAAACAGCCCTGTGGAGAAGGACTTGGGGATGTTGGTCGATGAGAAAATGAACATGAGTCGGCAGTGTGCACTCGCAGCCCAGAAAGCCAACCATATCCTGGGCTGCATCAAAAGGAGTGTGACCAGCAGGTCGAAGGAGGTGATCATGCCCCTCTATTCTGCTCTCGTGAGACCTCACCTGGAGTATTGTGTGCAGTTCTGGTGTCCTCAACATAAAAAGGACATGGAACTGTTGGAACAAGTCCAGAGGAAGACCACGAGGATGATCAGGGGACTGGAACACCTTCCGTATGAAGACAGGCTGAGAAAGTTGGGGCTGTTCAGCCTGGAGAAGAGAAGCCTGCATGGAGACCTCATAGCAGCCTTCCAGTATCTGAAGGGGGCCTATAGGGATGCTGGGGAGGGACTCTTCATTAGGGACTGTCGAGACAGGACAAGGACTAACGGGTTAAAACTTAAACAGGGGAAGTTTAGATTGGATATAAGGAGGAAATTCTTTCCTGTTAGGGTGGTGAGGCACTGGAATGGGTTGCCCAGGGAAGTTGTGAATGCTCCATCCCTGGCAGTGTTCAAGCCCCAGTTGGACAGAGCCTTGGGTGACATGGTTTAGTGTGAGGTGTCCCTGCCCATGGCAGGGGGGTTGGAACTAGATGATCTTAAGGTCCTTTCCAACCCTAACTATTCTATGAGTCTAAGACAAGCAACTATTGCCCACTGCTTTTCAGAGCTCTGCAGATGCCCAGGGACATCTGGGACTGATTTAGATGTGACACATTATGGTCTGACTGCTTCTATGGGCTGAGTCTTATATGGGATAGAGGTAGTTGCCTGTGTGCTGGAGTCCCAGCCTTGAGACATGACTGCAGCATATACTAAAGTGAAATGATTGTGTCAGCTGCATACCACCGTGAGTGGCAGGCCTTTCCATCAGTGCCAAAGATCTTGTACCTAGAACAACTTTGACTGTTTGCCAAACTCATTCCATTCTTTTCAACATTTTATATGGAAATCCAGAATGCTTTTCTACTGAAATACTGTCTCTGAAAACCCTGTGACCCAAACTCATCCAGGTGGTCTGGCAGTCCACACGCAACACCTTCACTCCAGCTCTTGCAGAGCTTTTCAGATGCATCCTCTGGGTGTTATGTCCACACATTCACATTTCCTGTTTTGCTGTCCTGTGAGGCTAGTAAAGCATTACTTTAAAAAAAAAAAAAAAAAAAAAAGGCAAAAACCGACAACAACAACAAAAAAGAAAAGAAGGGAAAAAGAAAGATGAATAGAAAAAAGAGAACAGAAAAAAAAAAGAGAAAAGTAAAAAAGAGGAAAAGAAAAAAAAACGAACCCAGAATATAAAAAAGAGAGGGAAAAAAAAAAAAAAAAACGAAAAAAGAAAAGAATGAAAAGAGACAACCTTACTTGTTCTTCGTTTTCTTCCAACCCAGCCTCTCATAGACCTTAGAAGTTGCTATAGGCCAGTTTTGGAGAAGTTAATGACTGTTAGGCTGTTGGTGGAACAAGACAGCCTTTTCTGCCTTTCCTCCCACACAGTTTCATTTGGTCGTAACTTAACGGGGGCTGGTTATCCTGCAGAAGCTTGCTCTGGGGCACTCCCTCCTTGACCGCAGCAGCTCTGCGGGACCGGGGGCAGCCCGGCAGAGGCATGCTCCCCGCACACCGGCCACAGCTCCTGCCCCATTTCTCCCTGTTCAAGCCTCTTCTCGCTCCGCTGCTCAGGCTGTGGAGCTGCTCCCCGCCGCCGTCGTGCCGTGTGCCGGGAGCCGCCCGCTGCCCTCAGCCACCCTCTCCCGCTGTGCTCGCCCTTCACTCCCCTAGCAGCCCCGCATGCAAATCGAGCCCAGCACCAGGAAGTAAGCGGAGCGGCTGCGAGCCAACTGCCGCCGCTCGGGCGAGGTTCCTCCGCCGGCTGCCCCCCTCTGCGGCCGGCGGGGAGCAGCGCCGCGCCCCGCACGCACACCGAGCCCGCCCGGCCCCGCCGAGCCCCCGCCCGGGACACCCCTTTCTCTCCGAGCCCCGGCGGTAACCGTGGAGCTCATTCGCTGCCGGCTCAACTTTCGCACCCGGGCAAGTAAGTGCCTTCACCGGGTGGTAGCGCCGGGAGCGGGCGGCGGCGGGGGGGAGCAAGCCCCAGCGCTCCCGGCTTTCTCCCAGGGGCGTGCACTGGGAGGGAGCGGAGGGTGCCCGGCCGAGCAGCGCCCGTGCCCCCGCCCCGGCACGGTGGGTACAAGGTGCTTTCCGGGGCGGCTTACCCTCGCTTCTGCAGCCCAGAGGAGGTGCTGCTGCCGTCTGACCCTCCCGGTAGGAATGGATGGGGTTTTAAAGGCAATGTGCGATATTTGGGGAGCAAAAAAGAGAAATCGTTCGCAAAAGCATGATTTACCTCTTGTGCTTCTCCCGGCTTCTGCTGTGATCTTCACGGCTCGGGTGCCTTCTGACTGCTTGTTGCCGGAAAGCATGTAATACTAGCCGATCAAAGACTGCACTCGGTGCCTCAAGCCAAGGCAGTAGCCTTGACTTAGGAGGAACGATGTGGCCTCTGGGTATTCCTTCTTACACCGTTTTTTCCTAGGAGAGTAATTCCTGGAGTGTCTTACAAGTTCAAGATGCTTCCTCTTGACTGTGGGTTCGAAAGTGCCTTAGCTTAAAAGAAACAAGAGAAAATAGTCTTGCGATGTTTGATGCATGGTGTTGCTTGCTGACTGCTATTGTAACAGTACTGTATGCCTGAGGCATGGTCTTGAGGGGTTTTCTTCTTCCAGTTTTAATTTAGGATCTGAAAGTCAGGCTAGGTCTCTAGCTGATGTTGTACCTTCAGTAAAGCAGTTTTCTCTTGAAATTACATCTTTTATGTGTTTGTAGGGAATGGGTTTGCAAGAACTCATCTTGATGCTTCGCTCCCCTCTGTTGGCATTGAAGACCAAATTGATTAACACTTAAAACTTGTTTAGCCAGATAATATTACTGCTGATACACACAGGGAGCACAAAGGTTACTTAAAATACTTACTGTATTTTTTCAGCTGAAACCCCAACTTAATATCCCATCTCTTGCTTTTCATTCCCACCTTTGAAAAAAAAGAAGCAGTCTGACCAATCTTACCATAATTTAGCCCATTGTAATGCAAATTAGAAATTGCATTTTCTTATTTTGATCCTATAAAGTACCTGGGAGACTTTAGTGATTTCGGAATCTTAATGCTAGTTGCAAGTATCTGTAAAGTATGAGTGCCATGTAGATAAGTTGTAGTAGCACTAAAGAGTTATTAAAAAAACAACCATACAACCACACAAACAAAAAAAGAGAAAGATATTTGTTGGGAAATTACAAAGTTACGTTGGGAAAATGTAGCTCAGTTTTTCAGAAGGGATAGTCAAATAGTGCTTGCGTGAACAGTTTCCAACCCAATACTGAATGTAAGTGCTACTTACCTTTTCTGTGGTGGGACTTTGTATCCCTACACTAGCAATGAAAGTATGGATGAGACAAAAAAACCACTAATAGCTTTCTCTGAAAAAGCAGCAACAGGCTAGAAATCAGATACTGTTATAGGGTGTTATGAAATCTTGAGCAAGGTTAAAATTAATGAACTCTTGAGTTCAACAGATGTCTCATTCTATGGATCCCTTCTGAGATTCATAGCTTTTTGCTTTCTCCATTTCAACTTGGTGAGCTACAGACTAGGTAGAGTTCTTGATTTAATAGCATAAATACCTATTCTGTGTGCTATTGAGATGCATATTTTTTCTTAACCGTAATGGAGTAGATCAATGTAGAGCTTTGTTTGTAACTTGGAGTTATTCTGCCTTTTTCCTGGGTTTTTGAAGTGTTTTTGTTTGTTTGGTTGGTTGGTTGGTTGGTTGGTCCATTTTTTCTTTGTTTATTTTATTTGAGTAAATAAGTTGAGGGTTTTTGTTTCCTATATAAGTATATAAAATACGCAGTAAGGCTTAGGCCTTTTCTTGTGTGTTCCTTGGGCAGTGGAGTTGCACAATGACTTCTGCTGACAATGCAATGAATTATGAAACTTTTGCATACAAGCCCCATTGCCTTTATGATGTTTAATATTCCTGGTTTTAATGTTATCCATTCAAGAGAGTTTCCATAAATGTGATATTCTTTCTTGCATGTATTTATGAAAATGTAAGAATAAATGTTTAAGTAACTCTTTCATAATACTTTTTACCCCCATTTTATCTCTAATGGAAGTGAGCTATCTTCCTTTGGCCTTGGTGGCACTTGTAAGATAAATGGCATCACAGAACAGCAAGTGTTGCGGGAAGAAATTCCTAAACTGGCAAAGAAAAAGGCCTAAGGTCCTCCTGGCTTAGCTTAGTACCAGATCTTCAATGGGGTGGCTCACAAGCCTCTCTTGTGCTGCACATCAGAGAGCAGCATTTGGCCTCTGCAGCTATTCAGAGAAGTTTATGAACTGCAGTATTTAATCCAAGATGTGATTCCATTTCTGTCACAAAAATGAGATGTTTTCCTATCTGTACTTTGCATGATATTTGGAATCTTAATGGGCACCTTAGATGGTTTTGAATGGAAACATATTGACCATGAAGCAATTTTCATTTTTTTCAGAGGGCTAGGTGGTGAGGTCTTTCCTCCTTTCCATTATATGCATATGCTGAGTGACTTTATTTCTTGTGTCCAGGGAACTGTAGAGCCATGTTTGCTCTCAGGGTTCAGGGAGCCCTTTAGAAAACTGAATGAACACAGAAAACAAGCAGATGAGGATTAACTGATTAAATAAAGGCATGGGTTGGGCATTAGTTGTAGATGAGGATTCCCAGCACTCTGGTCTTAGTAGCATGGCTGTACACAGTTGGATTTCTACAGTACCAGTGATGCCTGAAGAATGTGAGCTGTCACATAGTAATGCAAGGAATGGGAGGAGAATCCGTTGGATGGGTACCCTGAGAGTTTGGGGAGCTTTATGTGCAGTAGGTGATATTTCCTTCTGAAGCTATGGAGCCGAGTGTGTAAATAATTGCACCAAACCACATGACTCTGTTAAGTAATATTTATTGTTATTTTACCCCTATAGGATTTCTGTTGAAGCTAAGAACAGCTTCATTCTGATGAAGAACAAGTGCCCTGCTGAGAAGTAGGATGTTTCTCCTGCTGATTGTATTCCTACTTCCTATTTCTCCCATTTATTTGTGTCCCCTCTTTCATGAGAGTGTAGAAGTGTTAGGGATGGTATAGAGAGAAAGGCTTCCAGGCTTGACGAGACATGCCACAGGAAACAATGTGGATAAAATTGTAGAGTTACATTCATACGGAGACAGTCTTTAGTGAAGCATAAAAGAAGGGGACCGCCATACTGTAAACAGGACTGGTACCTTCTCAAAGAAATCAGCTTCTACTAGTAAAAGGCAAATACAACGTAACTGTCCTTAGTGTGATTGTTCCTAGTTTAAACTTAATTGTCCTTTAGGGAAGGATGGAAAGGTCTGTGCTTTCATATTTATTTTTGCCTGATTCAAATACATTTCCTGTTGACATTGTCATTAACTACTGTAATTTCCGAGGCTGAATCACTCACGGTCATGTTCAGCATCTTTCCTGAAAATGTGGGTTCACAAAACAAAATGCAAAGGCAAAATTCACCTTGTGTTGGAAGCATTTCCTCCAGATATTTATAAGTTACTTGTATTTGTTATGTGCCCTAAGGAACTACCCATAGAGGCAAATAGATCAGTTATTTTTGTCAGCTGAACATCAAAAGAGAGATGTCATTTTGACAGTAGCGCTTTTCTGGGGAGAGAAGGAGGAAACCAGGAAACGATGAAGGGGGGAAATTGGTAGATCTCATTTCTCTGGGGGAAAAAGGATAGACTAGCACCATTCAGGCGAGTATTTGCCATCCCTTAGGTCAGCATTGTCTATCTTTTTCAAACTCCCGGCATCTTAAGTATCTACAATTGGTTCCTGTGTTTGCGCAGCATACTATCTTACTTCTTCAGTTCAAAGGACTCAAATGATAAACAGTCTGAACAATGCGTCCTTCTTCCTCTATGGTCTCTGCTGCATGTAGCACGAGGCTACTTCTTCCTGTCTAAATTGTGGTTGATACGTCGTAGAATTTGCTACGTCAATTTTCAAATGCTTGCTTTTTACTGTGCACGTTCTTGTGACCAAGCTATTTCTTGAAAGTGCCTGTGATAGCAAGTTGTGTGATCTTAAACTGGAAAATGTGATAGCTTACCACAGGGGTTGAAGTATGGGATGCAGCTGTACTTCTGGAATGGTGTTTTCTGCAGCTTTCTCTATTTTAGAGGGCTGCTGGAATTCTGAACATGATAAAGTTTGTAGGGAATGGACTCCCTCTGGGATATGTTCTTAACTATTCCTTTGTTGGCTTAGCAGAAAGCCATTTCAGGAAGTTTGTCAAAAATGTAGTCTGTTAAGTGGGTTTTCTGATGTGACATCTGTAATATCTTGCTTTGCCTTTCATGTTTCCTTCATTACTTTGTACAGATACACGTATACGGACCTTTTTGATCTTTTTTTTTTAATGAAACTTGATTCAAGCTTGTTCTTGGGCATAAACTGAAACAGTATGGTGTTACAGGAATTATCGCGGAAATATATTTGGCTGCTAAGCAGGTCTGTTCTTTCCATTTATGACTGTACTAGGGACTTGGAGCAAAATTAGTACTAAAAGGTAAAGAGTATGCTTAAGTGAATTCCTACCTAATGGAAATGTATTTATAAATCAGCAGGTTTGAACTAGACTAAGTTTTACTCTATTCAGATAAAGAAAATATTTCCTGGTAGTATCATCTGAGTAAGAAAAGATCTGGATAATAGTGCATCTAGTGTATCTATTGAAATTGCCTGCTTGAGTATCCCTTACCAGCAACATGAGGTTTACAGACATTGGATCCAGTGGACAGAAAATGTTTTTCTCTAGGGCAGTCTTATCTTTACCATGTATCTTGATGGGATCTCTAAAACCCTTCAGTAAGTGCTTTGGGGTGGCTGTGATTCAAGTATGAATGGATGAGAGCTGGAACACAGGGTTAAGTGATCGCCAGAGCTGGTGTCAGTGCCACTGAG